TTTTTTTTTTCCGCGCGAAATTTCACTTTGATTGAAATATTGTCACGTAGAGATTATTTCTTGATCGACACGACGACACATTTTCTATAACTACTTATTTACGCAGTGAGTAATTATAATGTTCTTGCGAAGATGACAAACGGAAGGAAAATTTCTTTTTCTGGAATATATTCCATTAGTTATATTTTTTTATCTAATAAGATATATATGTCTACTTAGTAGAATCAAATATAAGTAAATATATAAAATAAAAATCAAATCTTTATAATTTGATATATTTTATTGATATATTGGTTCGTGAATCATTAATTCGAGTTTTTATTAAATTATATAATAATTTATATTATATAATTTTTTAATAATTTATGCTAGTATTGTAAATATCAAAAAGTTTTCATATTGGCATATCGCTGTCAAATTAACGTAGGAAATACATTTCTATTTTTGTTTCATTACTTTCAAATCAAACCTCGTAATTTGCTGTATAACAACGTGATATAATGAATAATGAAACGTCATACATAAATTTGAAGTCATTGCCAAGGCACACTCTACACCACTTTATGCCATTACTATGCTATTTCTGTGTCATTTACGCAATTACGTCTCACGGTCTTTTACCATATTTACATTCCGCGCCTGCGGCTTGGAATAGAATGGTTGACGTGAATGACCAGCGAATGATTTTTTTGTCACAAGATAATGAAAAAATCTTATATTTATTTTTCATAAATATTTAAAAGTACATTCTCGAATTTTTGTGATGGCTAATATAAAATTTTTAAAAAATTCGCAATTATTATTTATGTTTAATATCACGTTATAATTATTAATGAAGAAATTAATTATAGAACTCTTGATGTTGAAATAAAAATATTAATAATTTATGAACTACTACTACTGAATACAATACCGCAGTCTCATTAGCCTATTTTATTTGTAATTTTTATTATAATTATCAATTAGATAATTTTATGAAAAATTTACCAGCATATAAGAGGTGTATTCTGAGTTAAAAAATAATATAAATACAAAAAAAAAAGAATAAAAAACAAATTAAAGGTAAGGAAATGTTTGAGCATTTTTTATGTTACTTCGACAGAGTATAATACCGGCTATAGTCGTCTCTAGATTCTCTTTTCTCTTATACAAGATGTCAGCACGCATTGTGGTATTTGGCAGTGGTACGTGATGGTAGAACGTGATATGATATGGAGTCGTGGAGGTGGAGTAGTGTGCCAACATGGCTACAGCCGACGCAGATGACTGCGAGCGAGTACTAAGGTTGCGTTTTGTTGTTCATTGTAAGTACTGAAAGTCTAGTATACATAATGCGAACTACAGATTTTCAGTACTTGCAGTAAATAACGAAACGTATTCTTTTAATGTCGCTATTGATTAAATCCGGTGTATTTGCAAAAATAATTTCGTTTGTTATTTCAAGGTTGAGAAATTCAATTTATTTGTCAAGGAGAATGTAACTGTACTCCATTGTGATAGCGATAGCCGTAAACAGGAGTTAATCACGTTTACTCTGCTGATATTATCGTGTATACTTCTGTATTTCATTCGTCTTACGTTTGAAAGAAAACTGGAACCAGTGTTTATCAGAATACATTCACAATGACAGACTCAGAGAAACTCTTCGCTTGCTCCACATCGGGCTGCAATATGGTATGTGATGACTATTGTCTCTTTTACTGAGAAAAAGTAACTTATTTCGAGGTTACAAAAAATAATGTGAGAAACAACAGAATTAGTTTTTATTTACAGAGCTTTACAAACGAGGATCAATTAACAGTGCACAAAAAGAAACATGACATGATGCTAAATCTTAATAATAATTCTAAGAGTGCTGGATTCGTTGGTAAGATATCACTTGAACAATTTGATCCATTTATTGTCAAAGATAGAAATGTGCTGAAAGATTAATCAATATGTAGCAGATCAAACTCCAACACCAACAAGGTTTTTGAAGAATTGCGAGGAAGTGGGTTTATTTCAAGATCTGCAAAACGTAGTCAATCCTTTCGAAGAGACATTTCGAAGGGCTGTTGAGGCTGGAAATACTGGCACGCTTATAGTATCAGAGGTAAGATAAGAAAATCACACATATATTGTCTCAAATAATTCATAAAATTTATAATATTTATTTATAAGTGCATTACTTTTATAAAAGGTATCATTCAATATTGGTTCATTTTTTCATATAGGCTGGAATAACAGATGATACACTGCATACTCCTCATATTTTTCCTTATATATCAGATGTATTGCCTGCAAATAGTCAAATTCTTTCCGAAGACAACGTCGAAGTCTCTCTTGCCGAAAAAGATGAAGAGAAGGAAAGCGCTATAAAGACTGATGAATGTAACAGTATTAAATTAAGTACAAACAAGACGCAGGAACTGATGAAAGATTCGACTGTCACGTCTGCGAAAGGTGATACTCTCCCAGCGGATATTATTGCTTCAAATACAAATATACCTATAGCGCCTAAGCTTTCACCGACACAACCTACGTCTCACTTGTAAGAATGCCCCGTTTATTGTTATACAATTAGCCCATGCATTTCATCGTAATAAGCCTTAATTTCTCTTATTTTTAATTCAGTATATTTTCTTTCGTTTGTATGACTTTTAAATATTTTCTATGATACAATTTACACATGATTAATTCTTTAATTTTAGACAGTTATTTTTAGACATAATAATCAATCAAGCTTTTGTTATTGGATGTTCTGTGAAAGATAATTAATACGTGTTCCTTAATATAAAACCATTTGAAGCTATTGTATATATATATATATACGATGAAATTCTATATATCCTATATATATATATTGATAGACTTACAACATCTTTTTTTTTGCTAAGGTCTATCAATGGTGAAGAAGTGCAGTTGTTACTGAAAACCGCGGATGGTAAATTAATGCAATTGTGTGCGACACCGGTATCGGAGCCTTCTAACATATCGAACGTTAATACTGAACAGCAAACCGTTATTATCAAAACTGAACCAGCTCTGCGATGCGCAATGAAACTGGAGCCCAAGAAAACCGTGATCTCAAGATTATCATTAGCAAAAATGGTAACATCTGTTTACATCGATAATTTACGTTAGTTATTGATAATTTCAAGATAAATTTTTTAAAATCCCATTACAGAAACTGAAACAATCCCTGTCTAAGAACGTGCAGAATCAAAAGGTGACTGAAGACTATGCGAAAACGGATGGTGCCATTTCGAAAAAGGAGGGAATCAAGAAAACGATCGATCAGCTTAAGAAAAAAGACATTCTTGAGCGCAATCGTGCCAGTTCTATGCGTGCAAGGGCCAAAAGAAAAGAGTGGATTCAAGAACTCCAAAGAACAGTAACTAACGTAAATGAGGCGAACACGGCTTTGCAGATGGAGGTGAAAACTTTACGTAAGGAAGTTGCGAGATTGAAAGCTCTTTTGTTGGCTCATAAAGATTGTCCGGTCACAAAGGCGATGCAAAAAGGCAAGTTATTAATTTGGATGTTTGTTAATTATGTGATCATCATTATGAATGTTAATTCTTTACATTCGTAAAGTTATTTTATTTTCTCACTTTTATTGCTCTGCTCGTGTAATCTGATTAAAAAAGATTAAATTGGAGTAATCTACTGTCATATTTTAATATTTTGTTTTCGTTTTGACATACAGAAAAAATATACTCGGGCAATAATTTTGTTGCAATTGATCTTTTTGAATTTTATAGGAATAATTCTTGGACCCAAGCTAATATCAGTAGATAATCCGGAGGTACTTACGGTGCCGATATCGACCAATGGCGTCCCTGTAAAACGGTCAGTCTCTTATACAACGGAGATCCCGAGTATGCCAACGAAAAAATCGATCATGTCAATTACAAAGAATCCGGTGATACTTCCGAAAATGGATTGCGGCACCGCGAATCTCGCGATTCCGAATGCAACGATCATAAAAACTCTACCGACATTGAAAATCGTGGGTGTCAATCAATTTATGCCGGAGAAGTCGGAGGGAACGAAACAGATACTGATCGTGCAAAATCAACCGACAAAATTGTGCGAAGCTACATCTAGACAGATTATTCAGATAAATCCGAATTACGAGGTAGAGAACGCGGCATCCAAGAGTACGGGAACATAATTAATCGTCTTTAAAACTTTCGTACATTTGTAATTCAAATGTCGAAGTTCTTGTGGTTAAGACGATCAGCGAATAGACGAATGAATCGATTCTATGAGCTATGTAATACGTTATCGTGCAATAGAGCAAATTGTATGACGTTAACGAAAATAGTCACAAAATCTACGCGTCTTCTATTTTTATCTTCCATAATAAACTCGATCATATTTTAATGATTTGACGAGCAATTGTTTACTTTAAACTATTGCAGATAGTTACGCACTCTTAATATAGAGGAATGTGGAGTAATACAGGGAATATTATTTTTTTATATTATTTATTGTGTTTACAATAAAACAGATTTTTATTGAGATACGATTCATTTTATCCTCTCGTCAGTTGTAAATTATATATCTTACAAATTCTCTTCATCAAAGAGATGTTACCTATAAAAATATAAATTAAGTTTTTATTTATAAACCTAAATTCTTATATAACATATATTTATATGATATAATCAATTAATATTCTTGTTCATTTTTGCACTAATTAAATAAATTTAATTCTGTTTATAAAAATCTTGTTTATCTTGTTAAATTGTTAATGATATATGAATATAAATTAACGATTAATAATAGCAATAATGAAGATTGATTATTAAATATTATATTATTATAATAAATTCAAATTGAAGAATAAACAGCCTGCACACTGATCCAGCTATATGTTTTCGATATTTAGCAGACGAAAGACATCCAATGTATCCAGTCCCACGATGATTCTGTGACCCTCGGGCCCTTATCAGTTCTCCGTCCAGTCGTCTAACAAACTCTACACCGGACAGGAGAATGATAAGGGGCTTTGGGCACGCATTGCTTCAAACACGGGAAATGGTTATCGAAAGATGGAATTCCGTTCTGACATGTGTTGCTCGAGATATCTGAAAAAGATCCAAGTGATTAATTACTTTTTCATTCGTCAAGAAAAACTCGACAAAATCATAAAAACGGAAAAAAATATTATTGTATTCGATAGGAACAGTTACTTCGAAAATAATTTCTACGTCACTTATATAATATTTTTATGATACACGCGTAATAAAATATCTTTCATCCGGAAATGCATAAGCTGAAATCTGTTGCTAACGTTATAATCGGATTCAAAATGTTCGCGTCAAGTGTTTGTGCCCTCAAGAATATCTCAATTTTACTGTTCATGAAGAGTCTCTTTCGTAATCTATCTGCCTGAAAAGTATATTTGACCCGATTGCCGAGACACGTGGCATTATGCCTGTATCACGCGCGTCGACTTCCCTCAATCGGGCATAGATAAGCGCGCCAACAAAGGATAACCGTCTTTCTCGAACAAATAGAAGATTTCCGCTTCTCCTTCACGAATTGGAGTGAGTCACATTCGAGGACACAACGGACCGTGTGAGGCATCCTGCGGGCTTGGTATGCTGTCGGTTACTCAGTAAACTCTGTCAACCGCTTTCTCGTGTCGATAACAGACATCGATAACAGACAGCGACCGGTTGGATACAGTACGCGTCCCTGTTCTCTCCCCCGATTTCGCCGATGTTTCCTTAACCTTCGTCCTCTGCGACGAATCAATCCTGCCTAAGCATGCAGTAGAGAGCGAAAGTGTTCATGAATAATGCTTGGTTTAAATAAAGGACATTTTTTTTTAGGGAGCAAACGCTACTTTAGGAGCTATTATATTTATGATATAATAATTTCAGTTAATTATGTTTGGGATATTGGGCTATGAAATATTAAAGTGATTAAAAGAGATAAACATCACGCATCAAGCGACTCACAAACCCCGTTTTTACCCGAGTTAATCTGCTTAAATAAAACACGTTCAAATCGCAAATAAATCTGTGATTTAAAAATCCATTTTCTATCTCTTCATAATATTTTGTGCCATTTTATAATATTCCTAGATCAAGTGATTTAAGAATAATATTATGCTGTCGCTAAATAAACGATAACTATATGAATAGAAAACCTATTGCTTTTAAAAGTACAAATTTTCGCTTAAAAATACAATTGAATAAAATAATTCGACATGAAATAAAACTAAAATTGAGCGTATTATGAAAAAGGATCATTAATCTCAGAATTCGGTCGGTTAGACCAGATTGCCTAAATTTGATACTTTTAACATTTGAATCTGTTAGACTAGAAACTAATCATAGTCCGGCCATAACGAGGACCGATATTTTTCATCAAAATCGTGCGAGGGAGAAAAGATATTTTATCTCGCTGCGCAGCAATGTGAGAAAGAAAAAGATATGTGCTATCTCCTTTTGACTAATGCGATTTGACGAAAAATGTTGAACCAATCATAGGTTATCTCATAGCCAGACTTTGATTAAAGGGTCTTTACATCTCTACTAGTGAAAGGATATAATTCTGTCATGACAATCCATCAATTGGCGCCAATAAGATAATCTACGCGATTGAGAAAAATAAGAGAAAAAGAAAGAAGAAAATAAGGGAAAAAAACAAAAGTGTTCTCAATTTCTGAAAGCTTCCGTATTTCAGATATTTCTACTGAGTAATAATATCGTCAATTTTCGACAGTAACATTCTGAAAGATTTCAAATAATGACTCTTGATATTTCTGTAAAATGATATTTATGTTATTTTTATAATTTATAAATAACTAATGCTTCTTACTTTCGTTAAATGCTGTCGATATCGTCCTTTCGAAAATGCTAAAATTTCGTAGCTCATTCCTCAGTTATTCATGTCGGAATTTTACGTAGAACCGGTAACTGTCGGTCGCGAAACTATAAAACACGCAAGTTCAAAGCTTCCTCGCAAGGATGTGATTTGCGTTCGATCATTCGTAGAATTCTTGGCGTCGATTCGTCTTGCCAGCCCGCTCAATCGACGCATGTACGGAAATAGCACCGAGAGAGCAGAGAGAGAGCAGGTGCTCAATCCTATGGCCCTGCTACTTCGAGATCGTGCTGAACCATACGACTGTTATACAACACGAAACTTCCCAACCTTGGACCGAGAGCTTTTCTCGTCGCGAACGATTGATAAATTATGAGAAAATTTTGTGGATATAATTTAATAATTTTTACGATATTAATAATTACGATATTATTTATTAACGTTTACTAATATATGATTGTTCTCATATTCTGAATATTAAATGATATTGTTTTGGCTCGTAGCTCTTTTTGTTTATTGGTATTTAATTTATTTACTAATATTTTTTAATGATCAATATAAATTTAATGGAACTTCGAAAATTAGAATTAAATGAGGCGTCATTTCATTGAAATAGCAATTCGCAAATCATAATAACTAATTTAACGCTGTAAAATGCGTCCAGTAAACTAATCCTCAATTTTAGGAAAAAATTTGATATTGATAGAAATTTCTCTATCCGAATATCGACTTAAATTATTAAAATACTGCAAGATCTCTATTTGAGATTTTTTACTTGCATTAATTTCAAATGTACAGAGATATCTATCCTTGTGTTAGTACACCCGTATGGATGTTATTCATATTAAATGAACGCGCCGGAGTTTACATTAAATATTAAAGACCTAATTCGTCGACTAACGAGTCAAACTGTCCAGTTAACTATATACACAAGTTTCTCGTAATTGTATTCTCGCACGTTGACGAGCGAAAATATTTCTAATAAAATAAATGAAAATAAAACGAAATCTTAATTAACTCAGCTGCGGCAGGCAATGTTACTTTTATGATTGTTTCGATTAAAGGTAATGCAAAGGTAATGTCGCGCTCTGGAAAATAAATCGATTAACCGTTACGAATTTTCAATAGAAAGGACGATCAATCATCATCGCTGGGCATCAAGTCCCTGATATCACGTACATGATCTCGCGATTATTCGTATACAGACGGATGGAACGTTCGGTGCGAGATTTGCCCTGAAATTCGCTTCTTAAATTCTTGTTAGCGGAACATAGTTCTCCGGCCACGGTCGCGGATTCCATTTACTGATTGGATATGGCATCAGTTATTCATCGCTGTTAGTCGAAGGAGAGAACGAGAGAGAGGAGCACGTGCGGCTGTTATAAATACGGCGGATTTCCCGTCGGTATGCCGCTGCATTTGGAAATTCTCGACGGGCCTCCCCCTCAAACGTCCTCCCATCCTTCCCATTACATCGCTCGAGCACGTCCATAGTTGATCGTCGCACTATCAATAAAAAAACAGACCTCCCGTGTAATTCTCTCGTATACACGGCAGCTTAGAAAGATGCTGCCAAACTTGGAAAAGTATTCTCCTCACGCTAAAGCCGAAGAAAAGTTGCGCAATAACTAATACATCGGCCTTATGGCACATCAAAATTCCCCAGCGATTCAATCTTCGATTTCTTACAAAAATTCCGATATGATAAATTCACGATGATAGTTTCTAAGAAAGCGAATAAGAGATATCACAAGATATAAAGAGAACGATTCTCTCATTTAATTTAGTTTGTTGATCGCGACGACGAAAATAATTATATCAATGATTTTTTTTTCACGATTTTTGCAATTATATTATGTCTCGTTTTTGTCGTAAAAAGATGGAGATTGACCGAAAGGGTATTCTATTTTAATCAAAGTTAAAAGATAAGCGGAAAAAATGATTTTACTGAAATATTTAAAACAATTAGATCTGAAAATAATTGTGTTGAACACCAAATTAATTATATGTAGGATATTCAAACTCGTTGCCGTTATCAAAATATAAAATTTTTTGCAGATTATGCTTGAATGTCCTAATTATTTTGATGATTCATCAAAGTTTAGATCTGTGTCTAATTAAATTTTTAGATATTTTAGTAAAATCGTTCTTTCTGCGTAGATTAGAATTTTCGGATTATTTCTAGATTCATTGAACGTTGAAAGATCGAGACATACTTAACGGAAGGAGCGATCAAAAAGGAGAACGCGAAGTGTCGAGTTGCTATTATATTTATGGTCTTTGAGATACATATCAACGCAATAAACACATTCACAGGGCAATATGACGAAGATAAACTCGGGAAATACGAGCGTATGATTCTGTGCTTCTGAGAAGAACAATATGTGATTCGATGAGTCGTGAGATATACTATACGTTTGTGTTCCTTTGGCATTTTTAAATTTGATTCCAGACACATTGCGGACGTTTTTATTACGGTTTCCCTGTCATAATTAAATCCTAATTCTAATCAAATTAAAAAAGCTGGAAATTCGAATAAATTTCACGCGTAAATCAGATTAAAGAACAAAATGAGTTCCGGAAATAAGTATGTTTCAACAGATAATGCTTTCTCGTTAACGTAATTATTCTCATCTTTCCTTCCATGATTTATTGCGCTCTCCATTTGAACTAATATAAAGATAAGTTCAAGTATCGAAGGGATAAAGAACTCTTATAGAATTTTAATGTTGGAGGTAGTGATTAATTATTTATTTTAAGAACATTGTTGTTTAATGCTTTCTTAGAAATATATTTATATTTTTCTAAATTGTATTTGTAAGTAACATAAAATATTTGGTAGTGATTTAGAATTTAAATAAAAATTATTTCAATAAAAAGTGAATACACATGTTTTAAAAATAATTAAGATAAAATGAGAAAATTTCCATTTAAACTCTAAAATTGTATCGTTAAATACAAATATTGACTTTTCTCTTTTATTTAATTTCTTTCGTATGTATATTCATTTTTATACATTTTTACGAGTTATACATATTTCCAATCCCAGTCATTTTTTACAGAAACTATACATATATACCTGAAACTATATACACCCCTGAAATCCTTAAATTGGATTTCTGCAAGAAGCGAGGCGTATAAAGTGTTTGTTGTTTCACGACTGAAATGGATTCGAATGGAGTAAATCCGACGGCTATTGTCCCGGCCGAGAAATGGTCAGTTACACGCGCAACGACGCTGACGTACGTCGGATACGATCGGCGTCGCGGGTAGAGTCACATGGGCGACCGACGACAGCGAGAAACAAGGGCCGGCGGAGCCGATCGATCTGTTCACCGCCGAAAATACACGCGCACACGTACGGCGGCGGGTATCCCACATTTTCTGTGCCGGGGCTGCGCGATACAAAACGTGGAAACTGCACGCACAGTGGTCCAGAGAGCGGTGGCTGACTGAAAGAGGGAGATAGAGAGAGAGAGAGAGAGAGAGAGAGAGAGAGAGAGAGAGAGAGACACAGAAAGACAAAGAGAACGAAGGGAGGTACATAGCAGTAGAGGGCTTGCGGAAATTGTAGCCGTGCGGTGATTCTGGACGATTCCGAGAGACGAGAGTAAAGGCTATGGCACACAAAAAAACATAAGCAGAGTAAAATCATAAGCAATAAGCGAAATTGGCTGACAGTAAGAGACCGTAAGATAAACAAGCTCTAGATCAGATCGAAATTGTTGATTTGCTTACCGCTTATTGTCTACTTTGCAATAGTCGTAGTAAAACCAAAACTGATCAACTGATTGTAGTCCGATTATCTTCTCTCTGAATTATTTGGAGTGAATCTCCCTGTCTTTTCCGAGAGTGGCAGAATTCTCACTCCTTTGGAGTCGCACTCCAAAGAATTTAAAGGGTTTCTCGCGTTACGATTGCGGTGAATTTTTATGGCTTATTGCAGAGAGCGGGGCATGTATCTTACTGTTTAAGTTTTTTCTTTATGTGCCACAGCCTTGAGCTTGGAGCTCGTCGAATTGCGGCAACGCGCGGCAACTCCGATCTCGGCGACTCTCGTGCGATGACCCGCCGCCACGCACGTTGCCTGTCGTCATTCGGACGCCCGCAAATAACGAGACGCCTTGCGAATAGCTTTACACCGACGCTCCCCGCTCTCTCTCGTCCACGGCCTTTTCACGGTCTCTCACTGTGCCGCGTACGCGTGCGCCACTGATAAAGTTATCAGGTCGAGAGTCTGAATCCTTTTATGCCGAAGAATGCGTTCGTTCGCAATCCAATTTCTACCGGAATACTGAAATATCGAAATGTTCTCGCGCGACCGTTTATCGGCCGCTTTCCGCTTTCCCGATGTTCATCGAAACGGAAATGAATTTTGAAAAATCTGCGGGGATTCGTGATCCTATATAGAGAATCTTTCATACGTTTTTTCGCGAAGAAGTTCTTTTCGGCTCAAATTTTTTTTTTTTACATCGTTCATTTTTTTTTCCTTTTCTTTTCCTTTAACGTGGGGAGAACAAAAGAAAAGACGAACCGCGTCCAATGCGAAACATATGAAAGGTTCTCTGCAGGGTGAAAGCCTAAAAAAACAGACTCAAGGATAAACGATCGGAGAAATTCATTTGACGAATTTCTGGTCTGTATTTTGGAATTATTCGGAATGGAATTTCAACAGGAATTATTCAATTATTCCCTAGATTTCTATTGTGTTTTCTGGGAAAAACGTAATAATAATTCCGATCAGAATTCATTCCGAACATTCCATAATACGTGTTCTGATTCGACTTCACGTCGCATTTATGAGAATTGTTGCCACGACAACTAGATCCTCTTAAACCTGAATTCGAGAAAAGAATGAAGTCGGTTAAAAAAAGTACGAATAAATCGGAGAAACATAAGCTCGCCGCAAGGTCCACTGAACATTGATACTCGCGCCGGGGATTCTCGTATCGCTAAGTTTCATATCACATGCCGCACGCGTCGCGCAACGAAGTGCACAATTCTATACGTTCTCTCGCCAACCGGAAAGCTCAAGGTTACCCGCAAATTGTAGTTGCAGCTCACACTTTTCGATATCAGTCTATACTCTCTTCATATACAATCGCTATTCAGCCGTAAGATAGGAGACACTACGATAAACGGATAAACGATAAGATCTCCGGAGATAATCTCTGAATTTTTCAAGTCAGCCTTAACTGATAGGACTCTCCCAATTCGGAGGTACGAGTCCACACACAGCACACTCTTTTCGGTGACTGAAAGACTCCTCTCAGATCAACGACGTATTCTATAATCAGTCAGGCAAAAATTACTCATTGGACGCTGCAATCTTTGATCTGTTACGTTTCGTGAGATCTCAACGAGCCACATTGATACGATCAACGGCTACTCTCCTCTCGCGATAGACGTTGCGAAAACTTACGAGAAGATGCATCACACAGGCTCCGATATTATCGAGAAGTCCAGGGACAGATGGACGAAACGAATGTGCTAGTGAGCGAGCGAGCGAGTGAATGCTGATGTAACGCACGCGCACGATCGGCGACGGCCGGCTGCGTCGCATCTCCGAGACTCCGACTATTCCGACTACTCCGAGATCCTCGCAACGCGCAACGCGGCAACGCGCGACACGACACGATGCACGTCTCGCGCGCAACTGAGCGACCGTCTCGGCGACCGTTTCGTCGACGCTCGGTCGTTTCCGCAACGTACATGGCGGGAGGTTCGATCTCGTCGCGTCTTTGTCTATGACACGAGAACGCCGACTGCTCTCTCTCTCTCTCTCTCTCTCTCTCTCTCTCTCTCTCTCTCTCTCTCTCTCTTTCTCCTTCCCCTTACGCTTCCTCACCCCGTTCACGCTGCTCCAGGGGCTTCACCGTACTCTTTCTGGCCATCGTCGATTTGCGAGTTTGCGGTCGTCTCGCTCACGCCAACGACGATGCGCACCGGGGGATGAATAGAGGCTGCTGCTTTGGCGAAGCGAACGGTACAAGGGAGCGAGCACAACTGCGCCAAGAATCTTTCAGTACCCTAGTAAATACGAAGAAAGGTGGTGTGCTGGGATTTTCAAGTTTAAACAGGGGAAGATAGTGATGTGAGGTATATCTACACCAATGCTTCGGCAAGCATCCCTCAGGATTTACGGTAAGTAAATGTATATAATGAGTATACAACAAGCGATGGCAATGTTAAAATCTATCGTCTGTTAAATTAACGCAAGAGCCATGAATTAGCGCTTTAAGCAGTCTTGGCGAATGGGATTTATGTGGATGTTCCATTGATCGACATGCTTAAATCATTAAATCTGCGTCCTTGCACGTATTGAAGTGTGTAGGCATCGCCTTTTCTACGTGTATCAATATTGCATTTAATTAACTCTTCGAACTGCGCCAAAATCTGTAATACACAGTTTCTGACGCTGCGTTGGGAGCACCCATTTAATTTGTATTAATTAAAAGGCACTAATTAATTACAAGGATCTAAAATGATATTTCATATAATATCTCGTATAATAAAGAATGGATAGTAAACACATTTTAATAAGAATAATCCAAATTTGCAGATGTAATATAAAGAAAATTGAAAGTTACTTGACGTTTTAACAAAGAGATTTGTAATTAAGTGGATTCAATAGACTCCACTATCAGCTCTGGAAGGTTAAACGTAGAGAAAATAAATCTTTTCTTCTCTCGTGTCATTAGCGTTAATACAAAGAAATTTTTTGTATACATAATTACTGACAGGTGGTGCGTTCTCATAAGGTGAAATAATCTACTGTAATTATCGCCACTTGTAACATGAAGGAAAAAAATGAAAAAGATAATTTTAAAGTATCTAAAAATTTAGTCAGATAGAGATTTGAAAATAATTTTATTGGACCATCAAAATAATTCGTTCATTAATATTGTGAAACGTTCATTTTTTTTAAATGTTCATTAATGCGTGAATGATTATTATTTTTATCAATTTACTGTTAACTGTTATGTGAAAATATATTTATATATTTTTATCATCATATGATGTTAAATTTATATACACGATCTTTTAGTCTTTTAGCTTTTAAAAGCAATTTTTATTTCTTTTGATTTATTTTCTTCAGAGACTTAATTTATTTATGTTGTTCAAAATAATTATGTAGGATGTTCAAGCATGATAAACAATGCTGCAAAAAATTTTGACATTTTAATAATTAATTTGAGTTTGTGTATCTAAACTTTTAGATATTTTAACTAAATCGTTTTTTTTTTTCGTGAAGAAAACGAATAAAAAAGATTAAAACTTCGTGCGCGAAACAGAATTTCATCGAAGCAATGATTTTCACATCGAGATGGAAATATCTAATTCTCTCTCAGGAGATCGGCTACGGTTAAATTGGTGGCTAAATTAGAAATCGTCCCGGTAGTGGCGCCCCTGCGAAACGAGAGACGCTAATGCGGTCAACTAAAGTAAAAAGCTAACTGAAGGAGTGGTAAGTAGACACTAACACTTCCGGGCGAGCGACTCGATATCGACGGGGGTGGGTGTGCTCGCCTCGGCTTTAGCCCCGAATTAATTCTTCGGGGCTGGTCGAGCTCCCTCCATTACCGCCGGTGGAACGAGCGGCAGTAAAGTGTTCCGCCTTAAAAAGAATACGTGTACCTTCATCCTGACGCCTGTAGCAATGCTTTTCTCTTCCCTTTCTGGCTTCCTCTCCCTCCCGCCGCGCCGTTTCGTTCTCGGCTCCGGTACGATGCGGTGAGTTTCCTTGAAGATTTTAAGGGAAGTCCGGGATTTTCTTCGGGCTCGATCCTGCATCAGAAAGTTCCACCGACCATTGCTTTACTGTCTTAAAACAGCGGAAGAATCATTCACTTTTTTACAGAAAGAAAAAGCATTGTATTTGCCACACTTTCTAATAACTTTTTATTAGAACGGTATAATTGTAAAGGCTCTTTCTTCAAATAAATTCTTTGTTTCGAAAAAATTATTACGAGTCGACTTCACTAAGGTCGAAATTATTAATTATTCTTTCGAAACTGAGAATATATCGACTAACTTTACTGAACATTGCACAAAAGGTTCGTCTTTTGTAATAGAACTAATGTATATTTTAGAACTTCAAGTGAAATACGAGTAGATATACATATGTTTGGGGAAAGAGAGAAAGAAAATTCTAAACAGGAATAAAAAATAGATCTAATGTAACACGCCTTCTTCATCCACTTTTTCAATTATATTGTACTTAAATTTCGTACAAATTTAGTCTTGAACAAATAAGGGTGTATCGTCAGCGCGATAACAAAGCGTTAATCACGCTTTCCTAATAATTATTTCGAGACAAGAATGTTCTGGAACAAAGTTTCGTGTTTTGTTAGGTCAGGTATGTCGCAATTTGTTGACTCAGCTTTCAATTTCTTGTCCAGGAAGGACTGACCATCGATGAAGGCTACAAGTCGCCTGAGGCTCTGAGTACGCACAAAGACATTTTTCAAGTGAATTCTTTGGTTTAAACAGTTATAGCCTATGGATCTGCTTTGCCTGTAAGGAGTGAAACTAATTATACTTCGCGTTAGTGGCCTTCATTTGTGGCAGCTGTTTCTGTTCTAGTAAGCGAAACGCTTATTGAATGTGTTCAAAGTCGAAGGCTGCTTTATGTCGACTTCAAATAGTTAAAACTTCAAAAAACTATTAATACTGAAAGATAATAATTTTACTGAAATATCTAAAAATTTAACTGATTGTAGATTTAAATGTAATTTATATTTTGTTGGGTCATCAAAATAATTATGTAGGAAATTCAAGCATAATGAGCAATGCAGCAAAAAATTTTGATATACTAGCAATCAGCTTGAGTGTCCTACATAATTAATTTGATGTTCAAAATTATTTTCATATCTCTATCCAACTAAATTTTTTTATATAAAACTGGTTTTCCTGTAGATACGTATTAAAATAAAAAAAAATATATATAAATATTGCAATATATGTATTGTACCTCGTATTTTCTTTTTCAATTTTATGGAGACTAAAAATATTACAAATGATTGAAAAAAAAAAAAAATTTAAGGGAAATATCTTAAGGCTCTCGATGAAAAGATAACGTCAAGATATGGCACTAGCAGACTGTCGCGTCAAGTCTTCAATTTATTACCTCATATTATCCGATGTCGTATTGAATATTCGATGCACGAGTGATCTCGGTGGATGAAGAAAGAGAGCACCGGCGGCGGATGTTGAGCGGGCGAAGAGATCGATACGAGCCAGCAGCAGAGCACGATGCCCGCGAGTTCCATATAATCGTAGAGGAGAGGAAAAAAAAGGAGAATGAGCGATAGCAGTCGCGCTGCTCGCGCAGCGCGCAAGCCGAGATAAAAGCGTTTACGGGGAAGTAACGGGATGGTTCACCGGTTGGGGCGTGGTGGGCACCATCGCGAGTATATACGAGGGTCAAGGTTAACGTGGGAATTCCATATGTCGACATGATGGTTAATGCCACGTGCGTATCAAGCATTTCTCTTGATTTTCAGCAAGAAAAACAGAAGGTTTTCCGACTATCATTCTACTTTTGTCTCTAATCAGTACTTTCTTCCGGAATACATTGCGATATGTTTACACGTACTTATTTTTATATCTGGCTATGTATTTATAAGCACAGAGAACGTTGACATTTGAAAATATATATTTATATCTCGTTAAAGTTAATTATTTAATATTAAATAAAAGATTGTATCAATACTAAATTAACCTAGATTGTCATATGAATAAATCAATAAGTGAGAAGAAAGAACAGTTACAGTTAAGACCAGATCTAACCAAATAATATTCATATGTAAATTGTAAATACAACTTTCAATTATAAACTAACACTTACTGTTGGACTTGAAATGTAATCATAAACTGAAGGTGAAATTATATCTCAAATTAAATTGTAAGTGGAAATTTGTAACATTTGGTTGAATAATTATGCGTTTAATTGATTTTATAGTGACACATAGTGGAAGATTGCGATAAGTACCGTACCGATTACTACCATAAATGAAGCAAACAGAGTAAAATATCAAACATATACTTACAACACAAATCAGAGAATGAAGCACGGACAGCACGTTTATGGCAAGCAGCACGGACAACGGGGATGATTCACCTCTGATAGGGGGTTTGCGATAATTACGAGGGTCAAGGTTAAAGAGAGACGGATCCACATGCGGTACATTAGTTCAATCCGCACGTGTGCGGCTTTTTCTCTTTTCCTTTCATTGAATGAATACGATTTTGCATAAAAACTGCAACCGACGGATTTATACAAATCTGCAGTTAATGAATTTTAATAAATTTTCTAAAAAATCTAAATGTAAATGCATTTCAGAAAGACAAATGTTTCCTCGATTTAAATTTTCGCTGTGACTTTGAATGCGAATAATAGATAAGTTTTCTTTGCGCTAAGAGCTTGGAAAATAAAATCGGGAGCAGTATCTTCTCTCATTCACGCTTTAAAGAGAAAATCTTGTGAGTTATAAGCACTATGTATGCTCTTTGTAAGAATTCTTGGAGTTGCACTTAGGGGACTTGTGGTCTATGTTCTTGTTTGATCATCTTCCTTTCGTTAATGGATATTCATGGGAATACAGCATTATATGAAAATGTTATCTAGATTCACTATCAATGAAAATATGTACTTTAAAGATAATATTCTTACACAAGACTGTTGTATCAAATAATCATCGGGAATATTATAGAAATAGAAACGTCTCGCCATATATATTTTATTTCGATTAAAAATTTCAAAGTAAATACGATTAATACGATACGCATAAAATGCAAAAAATGAATATACAAAGAATCGATTATTAATAATCGAATTTTATAAATAAATTCATAGGATATTTGTTAAACAATAAATTGAAATATGGAAGGTATGTAGAGTTAAATCATCAACGTGATTTTTCTATCACGTTAATTAAATACAGATAGCCACGTCTGAATCCAAGATATTGAACACAAACCGTCGGATGATTCAACGGAATGATCTCACACGTAGGTAGATAAATTCTTCGAAAACAATCGATAAATTAGTTGTCATCGTTTTTTGTGCTAAGTGAAAGTCAGTAAAAATTTATCCTTGTGAAAGCAGATACAATCTTACTAACCGCAATCAAAAATCCTCGGTAATCCAATGGGAATTTGAATTTTGTAATAAACAGCTCATAGATTTAGTCCCACGATACCTATGGCGATGTTGCCACGCACTGATTGCCATAAGAACCGCGGAGAATAATAGCGATTTCCCGACGCGGAATTCCTTAATGAGTCTCTCCTGGGCCGAAGGACGAGGCTGCAAGTCATGGCGACGAGAAAGAAAGAAAGTGAAATTAAAGAGGATAGTCGATGATAGGAAATTAGGACGCCATGAAGCTGGAGAATTACGTCTTTTAATCATCGATTCAATTATCTCGCCAGCATGTATAACGATGAAGTCTCCGTAATAAGCTGCTATTTTTTTAAATTCTTATAACTAACTAAAATTAATGTAATTAATTAATGTGTAATGAAATCAAAGAAAAATATTAAAAACGTTAATAACAACAAAAAATTAAAAGAAATATTTTGTATTATTTTTGTAACTTGTACTAATATTTCTCTTTCTTTTTTGTAGAAGATATAGATGTTTATGGATATATAATATTTTATGATGGTATTATATTTTTTTCTGTTTAAGAAAATATTTTTTGAAGAATAATTTTGAGAAAGATGCATTTGTTTACAAGCACAGTCTAGTCGTTAGACGCAGGCATGCATTTAGGTGCTACCGTCGTGTCGATAAATTGATACGCTCGTCTACATAGTTCGCATAGGTGCGAATGCATCGCCATGGTAAGGGTACATAACACCCTTCTCAAGACACCCTTAGTTAGGCCTTCGCCGCCCGGCAAATTGAAATTATTGACACGGGCCATCGCACATTAGTGTTTCATTATCAGAGCATCGCCATTTACGAATCCCGTCCTTTTAACGTTCTTTTATTCTTCTTCAACGCTTCTTTTATCCGATTCAATTTTAAAATCACATCTTTACGCGTTGAGCATTGTGCCGATAATGTTAATATTATTCATTATTGAAGTCGAATTCGACTGACAACGCAGATTGTTAACTTACAATTAATGCGCGCGATTTAGCACGTGCTCTGTTTTGCAAACTCTTTAAAATTTAAAAAATTTTTTTAGCTGGAAAAATTTGGCGCGCCAATATATCACCGGGTTTTACCGACAAAATTCACTAAGTAAATTATTATCGAGCGCGTCCTGCTATTTACCGCAACGGGACCCAGCTTTATCTCGATCTAGCTCACGTACTTATCGAGATGAACGAGGCGTTACTTATCGCACTGCTAAAAGTGGCCATTAGATAAGGCTCAGAATGCGTACATTGAACTGGAATATTACCCAATTCTGTTATATGAATCGTACCTTTTTATGCGTTATATTTTTCCATTTTTATTTCAATTAAATTGTACTGATTTTTTTAGTTTTTATTATCTTTATTGCCGTGAATCCATATTATTTTTCTTTTATATCATTTTGTTAGATATTAAATGTACACATACTTGCTTATCGTGCAGTTCTAAAAATGGTTTTCATTAATAAATACTATTACCTTTATTATCTATATTATTTATTATTTATATTATCTATATTATTTATCACAGTGTATGCTGTCAAATTCATAATGTCAAAATTGTACAATTATTCATATTGTTAACTGTGTGTATTTGAGATATTTTTAATCATTTTTGTAGATCGCCATTGTTTCTA